AAAGAGTATTAAAGGGAGTGTCCTCACCACGAAATTCTAACCTATCAAATTATTCAAATTTTCTATGGAGGCTTAAGTCCCCAAGGCAAGTCATACCTTGATGGAGGAGCCGGAGGTCCCATCACGAATAGAACGGAGGAAGAAGTGGTAGACATCATTGAGGATGTGGTGAGGTATTATAGAGATTGGCAAGATGGTGAGAGGGATTCAACTAGGAAGAGTAGCTCCTCGGTGTACTCGGTTGATCATTTAAAAGCAATCAACAATCTCTCCTAACAAATGACGAACTTGGGGAAGGAAATGATTGAAATCAAGAAAAAATAGGAAAGTTCTTCTTCCCAAGCTTCAAATCCTCCCTCCCAATTTAAGGGGAGAGTTATATATTCTATCTCTCATCCTCCTGCTTCTTCTAGTAACATGCCTACTGGTTTTTTGTTTTGTGATGTGTGTGGTTCATATGATCATGATGCTTGGAATTTCCCTCATGCTTTACCGGATAGTAATGATGATTTTGATAACAATGAGAGTGAGCATGTGAAATATGTGTAAAATAATAATAATGTGCAAAGGTTTGATAATCAAAGGGGTGAATGAAATAGGAATTACCAAAACCAAGGCGATTTTGACAACAATAACAAAGGGAACCAAGGTTCTCGAGGTAACTATATCAATCAAGGTTATAGTAGCCAAAATCAAAACCAAAATTATGGAAATCAAAACCAAGGTTATGGAAATCATAATCAAGGTAGTGGTAATGCAACCATAATCAAGGTTATGGTTAAAATAGGGGTGATTAGAACAATAAAGGTAAGGGTAATTTTAAAAACAATACTCATAGAGGCCCTCCACCCAGATTTGCTCCAAATACTTAAGGTGATAATTCCTATTCACAATCCTTTTCCTCTAGGCCTAATTTGGAGGAAATCATTGAGAATCTAGCAAAGTTGTTGAACACTTACATGGCCGTAAGTGACAAGAAATTCAATGAAATGATGACTCATAATAAGATGCTTGAAAACAAAATTTCTCAACATGCCAATGATTTGAAAGACCATTCTAGTCCTTTTTCTTTACCTTCCTAAGGCCTAGATCCCATGAGACCCGTTAATGTTATTGTTACAAGGAGTGGTAAGATTCTTGAGGAGAGTTTTCCTAAGAAGAGTGAAACTAAGGAAGTCTCCAAGGAATTATTGGTAGAAGATGAGAGAGATGGCAATCTTTTAGTAAGGTTGTGATTGAGACACCTAGTGAGGTAGGAGTAGAGAAAGAAATTGTGAAACCCAAGCTTCCGTATCCACAAAAATTCATGAGACATATGTTGAACGAACAATATGGAAGATTTATTGACATGCTCAAGCAACTTCACCTTTCTCTACCAGTTACGGAAGTTGTCACCCAAATGCCCAACTATGCGAAATTCCTCAAAGACATTTTGAGTGGGAAAAGAACTTGTGATGTTGTGGAGACGGTTAAATTGTAGTGCAATTATAATGAACAAGATGCCACCTAAAGATCCCGGAAATTTCTCTATCCCTTGTGCCATTAACAAGATGCAAATTGATAATGCCTTATGTGACTTAGGAGCTAGTGTTAGCCTAATGTCATATTTGGTCTATCAAAGATTTGAGTTAGGGGAACTTTTGCCTTCCAACATAACCTTGCAATTAGCCGATAGGTCAATCAAACTTCCAATGGGTAAGGTGGAGGATGTTCCTTTTAGAGTAGGTAAGTATATGATTCCGGTGGATTTTATAGTTCTTGAAATGGATGAAGATGCTACCATTCCTATTATTCTTGGTAGACCTTTCCTTGCTACCTCGGGTGCTTTGGTTGAAGTTAAGAGTGCAAATATTTCACTTTAGTTAGGAGATGAGGTTATTATATTTGACATGAATGATATCATGAAGTATCCATGTTCTTCTTAAAAAAATTGCATGATGATTGATTCTCTTGACCATGTTGTGTCTTCTATGCATGAGCACTTGCTCACTTCTAATGATCCTCTTGATAATGTCTTGTTGAATAAGGATAAGATAGGTGCTCCTATCAAGGAATGGCAATGTATGAGGATTTGCTAAATGGAAGCATCGAGGAAGTGGATGAGCATATGTGCATGAATATTTCAAACCTAGAGGCTTTGCAAGATGCCACTTCAAAGGAAGATAAAGGTGTACCAATGGTTGAGCTCAAACCTCTCCCATCACACCTTAGCGTCAAGGAATCAAGATGGAGTGGTCCATATTTGGTCAAGATTGTTTTTCCAAGCGGTGTTGTAAAGGTCTCAATAATGGATTCTTCTTCTCCGTTTAAGGTCAATGACCATCGTCTTCAGAAGTATTTCTATGGTGCTTTTGTTGGCTTTGTTCACTCATTTTTTCTCCGACAACCACCTTAATTGGTGGAGGACGTCGAGCTATGACGTTAAACAAGCACTATCCGGGAGGCAACCCGATTTTCTAAACTTTTTCTTTTGATTTTACAATTTTCTATATTTCTTTTATGTTTGAGAGCTTTTCTTATTTCTCTTAATTTTTGTTTTTTTCTGTTGAGTTTAGGTTCCATGAGATTGGATCGAAGAAATTTTCCAACAATTTTGGTGTTACTTCAAGATCTCATGAGGTTTGGTTAAGCTTAGGTGGGGTTACATGTTATCGTCTTTGCATTTTTATTGATTTTTGTATTCATATTCAAGTATATTTTGGATTATTTCTTGTGAAATTTTTTAGTAATTGATCATGACACTCGATTGCACCGGTGAGAATGCATCATGAAAGCATATTTAAGGGTATTTTCTCTATCCTTTTGCTAAATTCTTGTCGGATTTTTTTTAAAAAACAAAATTTGATCACCCTATGGTGCGCACGCACAGGGGTCAAATATTTTGGCATTATTTTGAGCATTTGGTAATGAATTTTAGAGCCCTCCCGAGCTGCATGTGGTGCGCACGCACCATGGACCTGTGCGCACACACAGGGACTACCCGCGGGCGCAGGGTGGCTGTCCCCGGGCGCGGGTGGCTGCACCTTAAAACCACTAAACCCAAGCAGGTACTCACCGCGGGTTGCCCGCGGGCGTGATTTTGCTGCCGCGGGCGCGGAGATTTCGAGAGAGGGCGCGGCGTTCTGGTTTCATGTTTCAACCGTGCCCCTGTCCTTCTCTCTCCTCTGTTATTTCTCTTTACACTCAACTTTTATCCCATTTCTTTCTCATCCTACTCTCAAAACCTAACCCCAACCCATCAATTTCACATTATTTTCCTTATTTTCACTTAAATTTTCATCAAAATCTTTTACTTTTCTTCTTTTTCATCAAATTTAGATCATCTATCTCGTTGTTTTTTGGGAAAAATCGGTTTCTTGAAGCACCTTAAAGCTTGATTCATGCTTGGTCCGTTTTTGGTGTTCTTGTGCTTCATTTGTGTCTTCAACTTTGGTATAACCCTAATCCTTGGTCTATTTTTTTCAATTTTTATTGATTTTATGCATTGCTTTTGATTTACCTTTGTTAAGTATGAATATGTTGATTATGGATAATTTTATGGTGTTTTTGAGATTGTTTTGAGTGATTTGGACTTATTTTTTATATTGATTGTTAATTTTGTTGGTTGTTGTTTGGATTTTAGTTGTTGTCTTGTTTGAAACAGGTACTTTGTAGTGTTGGGTGGTGTTGTGAAGTTGTGTGAAGTGTTAGTGGTAGTATTGGTGTTGAGTAGTTTTTTGTGTGAATTCCTTTCAGTTATTGGTGTAATTTGATTTGGTGATTATGGATTTGTTATGAAAAAGCAAGTGTAGCAAGAAGCGTTCTCACCAATATCCCGGTCAATCTTCTCAAGGCCAATACTCCCATGGCCAATCTTCCCATATCCAACTTCCTCCCAACCCCACTCCTCAAGATAATACCCCACCTCAACCTCTACCCCCTCTCAAATTTTATAACCGGTCTAAATAAGCTCCAATCTATAACAAAATGAAAACCTGAAAGTTTAGGCCAACCCGAAACAATCATCATGACAAAATGGTCAAGTTAGGAATTGATTCCGATCTTGACATCCTTCTCCGAAACCTCCATTTAATCGAGATTGCTAAATCTTCTCCTAGAACATATTTGGAACCCACCATTGAGTTTTTCTCTACATTTAAATACAATAGGGCGAGGGATACTGATTTTCTCATCTATTTCCAATTGTTCAATGTCAAGCATACATTAACCCTCCACGAATTCAATGCCATTGGTTTCAATCCTCATGATGATATTTTTTAGCCAATCCTTTCCAACCTGGCTGCTTATAATGAGGTCTCATGGTGGAGAAGCATTTCTAATAAGAGAACGTTTGACTCCAAGAGTTCTCTTGCTAGTGAAATTATTCACCCGGCCCTTAGAATTCTTCATAGGTTTTATGGTTATGCCGTTTTTAACAAGAAAGACCTTGGGAAACTTTCAAGGGAAGAGATAATGGTTCTTTGGATGGCCACCAAGTCGGATTTTGGGTCTAGCGTGAATTTTGGGTACATTTTTATGAAGTGTTGCAGAGCGATAATTAGTGGGACCAAAACCGGAGAGATTCATTGTGGAGGAATGGTTACGAGGTTGGTTACTCATTTCAAGCAAGAGGGGTTCTTGAGGTCTTACACTCCGGTTGGAGGGAGTGAAGATGTGTTACTAGATTTGAAGCGACTCAACACATTACGCTTCATCACTAGTACGAGTAAGGCCAATGTATATTCTTGGTTAGTGCGAAATGAATACTATTGCTTGCTTCCAAACCCGGCTGCAACTTCTATTTGTAGGGAGGCTAGGAATGTTTGGAATATCCCTATGGATAGGGGGGGAAAGTGGTAGTTGATATGGAGGAGGATGAGGACGTGAATGAGGAGGATGATGATGGTGATAATGGTGGTGGAGAGGAACAACAACAGCAACAACAATTCAATCAACAACGGCGAGAAACAAGACAACAATGACCACAACACGACTACCAACAAGATTCCTATCTTCGGGAGATGACGGTCATGCGAGAGCAAATGGAGCGCAAGCAAGGTATGTGCCGGCCCAACCAGGGCCCGTGCCATCTTGGGGTGGTGACAACCTCCCTAATGTACCCTTATTGGCAAGGGGTCTCAGACCCCGATGAGTCCGGTCATTATGACTATCGGGTTCCGGGAAGGAGTGACTATACCGGTGATCCCAACTACTTCTATGTTCACCCCACTCACCCCGAGCTATGCATTCATCCCGAGCCATATGACCAGTTGACCACATACCAACTTGACCTTTTTAAAGGTCATTATGGGTGGCCACCCGGTTATACCGGTGGTTGGGATCCATATGGCCCCCCATCAGGCTTCTCTTATTATGGGGATATTGGTGATGGTGATGCCGGCCCTAGTGGCCATTAGTCCCCCTTGGGTTGTTTATTTCCCCTTTTTGATACCTCCCCTATAGTTTCCCTTACTTGTATGCATCGCGGTCGATGCACTTATTTTGTGAGGGGGGGAGTCGAAAAGGGTGTTTTAGGGTTGGTCTAGGGGGAGGCACATTTATTTCGTAAACCAAGGTGAAAAGATAAGAAGGGTGTCACCTTTATTTCATTACTTTTCTTGTATGCTTAGATTAGGATTAGTTTTAGGCTGAGTTGATCGTTCAAGGATGTTTGCCTTGTAACACCTAGCGTGTTTGGGGTCATTGGCGTTGTTGCCGAATGACCGCTTGTTTGACGATTCCCTTTTACTTGTGATTGCTCTCATTCTTGTGCTTTTCTCTCTAAGTTTCCTTTTATTTCCTTTAAAAAAAATAATTGCATTTTTGAGGCTATACTTCTCTTTTTGCTTGTTTAGCTCTTATCTTATGACATTCTACAATTTGGAATTTTTCCTTTGAATGTATGCTTTCCTATGTTTTATCGGTGTGCATGCTTTGAGAGTATTCACGGTTGACTCTAGGATAGGGTATGCTTAGGTAGCGGTTTGGACCTTTTGGGTCCTTGAAGCCGGATTCTTTTGGTTTGTGGTCCTTTGGTGAATTTGACAACTTTAGTAAGTATTTTCTACACCCGTGTGAGGATTATTCTTTTTCAATTCTTCATTATATTTTGATTGTACGGCGTGGATCCTTGACCTTTGCATACCTAATCTTGAATCTTGACTCATAATTCTCAAACACGAGACCGAACCAACTAGGAAGGATAAAGGCAACTTTTTAGGGTGGTAATTTTTCATTTCTAGGATTTTCTTCTTTCTTTTTAGTTCATTGGGTTTACATTTGCCTTCCTACTAACCATTTGAGCCTTTCCCCTTCTTTTCAAGCCACATCTTTAGAACTTTGAGCCACTTGTTTCTTTTTGTTCCATTTTTTGGTTTTTGTGAAGCAAATGGTCGTGTTTTGGGAGTTTGTGGTCTAAAAGGTTGGATATTGGTTTTATTTGTAAGCAAGCTCGTCTTTTGTTTATATTGGGAATAATGATAAGTGAATACATAAAAAAGTCATCCAAAGTTAAAAGAGGCAAGGACATAATAAATGCAAAATTGAAAAAACCGTTCAAAGTTAAAAGAGGCGAGGACAATTGCTTTGAAAAAAAAAAATGAAAATTACAAAAAAAAGTGAAAATAAGAAAATTCAAAAATATTTTGATGTGATTCTTTTCCCTTTTTAAGCATTGAGGAAAATGCTTCGTTTTAGCTTGGGGGAGAAGCGTTTACGCTTTTTTTTATATATGCTTGTGGATACAACTTCGAATAAGCTTGGGGTATTAGTTTATTTTTGTTTGGTGACTTCTCGGTTTTGGTGTTGAGGTTTGGTCAATCTTTGCTTCATAAACTAGGTGTACCACCAAATGCTAAATTTTAGGCCTACCCCTAACCTTTTGCCCTTACGTTACAACCTTTGGGAAAGTCCTTTCGACCTAGCGGTTGAGTCATATACCAGGGGAGGACATTAAGAGTTAAAGCCTAAGGAAAAGGGATGCAAGGTCAAGATGTCGAGAACCCTAAAATTTTATTCTTTTCCGGTTCCTTCGAGGAACCATAGAGACGCTTACTAAGGGAAGATTTGAAGCCATTGGAAGAACGCGGTTAGATTGGTTGGGATGAAAGTGGATTGCGCCTCTTTAGTTCTCTATGCTTAGCATACCTTATGTTTTGATCAACCGTGGATATCTTGAAGCATGCATACCCCTATCATATAGAAAAGTGTTCATTCACTTGCATTTGACCGTTTGTGAAAGTCCTTATGAAGAGCTATTTGTTTGAAATTTTGATTTACCTTCTTTTCTTTTAAATGATTTTGCCTTGTTTTATTTTAAAGAGTTATGGGTTAAGCTATTAGGAAACCTTTACGAGACCTCACTCGTCCTCATAGGCGAATTTGGGGTTTAAAGGGCTTGTTGTAGCTAAAAAGAACCCTGATTCCTACGTTAGTGAGTCTTAGTGTATATTCGTTTTCTCTATTTTTCCTTTTCTTTTCTAAATAAGCCCTTCTTATTCCTTTTTAGCTTCTGTTTTCCTCGGGATGAGCAAAAGTCTAGCTTGGGAGAATTTGATGAGTGTCATTTATGGCACTCACAGGGTAGTCTTTTAGGATGTTTTCACCCTATTTTCATAGCTTTCTTTTATTATTTTGGTCTTTTCTCCCTTAGTTTCTGTATTACTTTCTTTCTTCATGTTTTACTTTCCTTTATGTGGTTTTCTTCATGTTTCCCTTTTATATGACTCTTTTTCTCTTCTATTTTCTCTCTTTGTTTACTTATGTAGGTGCTTAAGGAGATGGCTTTGCAAAGGGGTCAAGAAGAGCAAAAAGGGCTAAGCAAAGAAGAAGCGAGCTCCTTGGAGAGGGCTCGGAGAGGGCGTACAACCTTTGCCAAAGGCCTAGGGCGCGGGCCTTGAAGGGTGCGAGCGCGGTAAAGTGCTAGGAAATGGAGATTTTTGCCAGGAACTCTCCGCGCCCTAGCCGCAGTCTACCCGCAGGTGCGAATGTTTTGGAGAGACCACTCCTATTAGAGAGACCGCGGGCCCCTAAATTCACTTGGGAGCAGAGCATTTTCCGCGCCCTTATCCGCGGGCGCGGGGGTCTTCGTCGCGGTCGAGGGCTACAGTACCCGCGGGTGCGGGTGTTGCCTAGATTGCCCGCGGAGTTAGTTATGAGTTCGACACTCATTTTTCCACGCCCGCGGGATATTCTTGGAAAAGGTGCAGCCGATCATTTTTTTTTTGACTAAATATACTCTTCTAATTGCTTTTCATAGAAAACTTTTAGATAATTTTTATTTGCTTAGTTTTTAAGGAGGGAAACTAGAGAGAAGTTAGAGAGAAAGTAGAGATAGAAATTCTTGGATTTTGATTTGTGTTACAACATTGTTTCAATCAAGTTTGGATTTCTTTTTCATATCAATGAAAGTTGGTGAGATTTCTTTTCTTTGAATTTACTTTTATTGCAATTACCTTTTATGCATAATTGTTTGATTTGAATTTTGTTTTAGGCTTGAGAAATTGTTGAATGATTGAATTCCTTCTTGATTAAACTTAAAATGAATATGTTTGTGATTTAATTTGTTTTGTCTTTCAATTTCACCATGATTAGCGAGTAGATTAGTTGCTAGGGAGAAGGGGTATTATGCTTGATTGATGATTTTTTCTAGTTGATGATCATTAAATGATTGAATTTTTGCAATTAAACTGGTTGACATAGTTGTGCACGTGATTAATTAGACTAGGAGTGATCAACCTATAAGATTAATCTAGATTGCATAGCAAATTTCAATGACATGAACCCTTGATTTGAGAATTGCTTTAATTTATTGAATCTGATTGTGATTTTCCTTGTTAACCATGCGTAGTGAACCCTAGCTTGGCTTATAGGAGATAACTTTTGGATTCCTTTGATTGCAACTATTGTTTGTCCCTTGTAATGTTTGAATCGGTTGAGTGATCTAACAATTAGCATAATCATTTAGATTGCATGTGGAATATATATCCCTAGTGTTTAACATATTGAATTTATCGGTTTATCTAGTTTCTTGATACTTTAGTTACCAACCACAACCATTTAAATTCTTCGAATTAGCTTGACATAGACTACAACATAATACCTACTCATTCCTTTGTTTTCGACCCTTGACTTACCATGTACTTTTATTAGGTGGGTCGAGTGTTTACAAATTAGGTTTGGCTCTAGGGAGAGGTAGATAATGACCTACATTTTCCTCTTGTCGGGAATTATGAACACAAATATTCAAATAAAGATTCCAAATTTAACTTGTGAATCCTTGAAAAATTATATCTTCCAATATGAAGATAAATGAAATTTCTATCACAAGATTCAAACTTTATGATTCCAATCAATTAAATCAAAAGTTCAACCAAAAATTCGTGGAATTTACTAACTCAAAGTTTCAATCACTTAAAATAATTAAAGATTGAATCTTTAGTACTTAAAAGCCTTTAAGAACAAATTTTTCATAATAAATGCAATGGATTTACAATTATATGAAAATTTTAACCAATCTTTCAAGTACTCATTACTACCAAGTTACCATATTTAAAGAGGTTTAAAAATGCAGAAATGACCAAATACATAGTCACCATAAATATGCCCTAAAGATTTAAGGTTAGAAAGACTTAAAAATTTTCATTAAAACGAAAAATGCCTCAAAAAAGGCATTTTTGGTTAGATTTTGGCCTAAAACACGATCCTAAAATGGCGAAAACATTTTCAGAATAATTTTTCCACCCATAATCAGCTTTAAAGTAGGTTTAAAATTAATAAAATTGAGCTTCTAATCTAATTAGCGACACAAAACCAGAAAAATAAAGCCATAAAAACACCTTGAAAATTATGATTATAAAAATAAATGAGAAAGACTCCGATACCAGTGTTGGGTTTGATGAGTCCAACTCATCGCAGAATAAAACCCGAGCCAAGATCACACTCATAATTAATATAATCAAAAGACATAATTAACAAGAAATAAGGAAAGACTTAATTACCTTTGTTGCGTGCTTCGCTCGTACCCCGAGCTCTTACTTGAGAAAGCTTAAGTCTTGCAA